CTCACAGGATGCTGCCAGGGGTAAGTCAGTGTGATTGCATGACACTGGTGATGGGGATGCCATACAGATTCATGTCAAAAATCCCGAACTATCCCTTTAACCAATCTGACTCTATGATATGGTAAAATTGTCTTTGTAAAGTGCCTTGAGATGCAACATATTCTCATTATCAGTTCGTATGAAATCGTATGAAAAGTTATGCACACTATTTTGTACGTTTTGGATGTTTTTCCTCAAAAAACCAGATCAGTACGCATGCGCAGGCAGACAGACAAAAAAACAGATCGGCGGACGGACTTAAAACTGGGAAAAACACTGCAATAATCACTTCTTCATGTCTCTAACTACGTTGCTTGCTGTTTTATATCTTACGGTTAGGGTTAGGGTCAGGGTTAGGGCTAATTGTATTTTAAATTCTATGTTCTTGAATGGTGCGTAAGATGCGCATGCGCATACGACGAAAAAAACTTCCAAAACGTACGAAATTATGGTGCATAACTTTTCGTACGATTTCATACGAACTCATAATGAGAATACGCTGTGAGATGACATGGTTTGTGAATTGGTGCTATATAAATACACTGAATTTAATTCAATTAAATTCATAAAATTTATGGACTGACGGTTTGTAAGTAAGAGTTTTAAACTGATTGCTAATGCTCAATGAGCCTGACTGAATGATCCATGTTGTGTGTTAATATCTGCTAAAAACTCCAAACTAATTCATTGCCATTGGTAGCAAGCATTTTGTGAGTCTTCTAAAAATTCTGTTCTGGCTGGCCTTCCCCTGGAACTTGTTATCCTTTGTCAGCTCAACTTTAATGCATTCCTGAGTCATTGTTAATTTTTCACTGCAAAACTGAGTGAAACTTCACTGTTTTGACTGCATTTACTATCTCAGTTTTAGTGTCATTCACATGTACAGTATCTCCTGCTAATTTAAAATTAGTCTTAAATGCATTAACCCTTAAAACTTGAACATTACTCAGAGACTTTTAAATGGACTCGTGCTTAATTTCACTAGCGTTTAGTGTTTGCATAGAACTATACATTTTTACAAGCTATCTACAGTGCAGACCAAACGTTTGGACACACCTTCTCATTTAAAGAGTTTTCTTTATTTTCCTGACTGTAAAAATTGTAGATTCACACTGAGGCATCGAAACTATGAATTAGCACATGTGGACTTATATACTTAACAAAAAATTGTGAAACAACTGAAAATATGCCTTATATTCTAGGTTCTGTAAAGTAGCCACCTTTCGCTTTGATTACTGCTTCGGACACTCTTGGCAATCTCTTGATGAGCTTCAAGAGGTAGTCTCCTGAAATAGTTTTCACATCACAGGTGTCCCCTGTCAGGTTTAAAAAGTGGAATTTCTTGCCTTAAAAATGGGGTTGGGACCATCAGTTGTGTTGTGCAGAAGTCAGGTGTATACAGGTCCTACTGAATAGACTGCTAGAATTTGTATTATGGCAAGAAAAAAGCAGCTAAGTAAAGAAAAACAAGTGGCTATCATTACTTTAAGAAATGAAGGTCATTCAGTCCGAAAAATTGACAAAACTTTGAAAGTGTCCCCATGTGCATTCACAAAAACCATCAAGCGCTATTAAGAAACTGGCTGACATTCGGACCGCCCCATGAAAGGAAGACCAAGAGTCGCCTCTGCTGCAGAGGATAAGTTCATCCGAGTCACCAGCCTCAGAAAAAACTGTTTAACAGCAGCCCAGATTAAAGACCAGGTCAATGCCACACAGAGTTCTAGCAGCAGAGACATCTCTAACAACTGTTAAGAGGAGACTGTGTGAATTAGGCCTTCATGGTAAAATCGCTGCTAGGAAACCACTGCTAAGGACAGGCAACAAGCAGCAGAGACTTGCTTGGGCTAAAGAACACAAGGAATGGACATTAGACCAGTAGAAATCTGTTCTTTGGTCTGATCAGTCCAAATTTGAGATCTTTGGTTCCAACCATTGTGTATTTGTGCGAAGCACAAAAGGTGAACAGATGGACTCCACGTGCCTTGTTCCCACCATGAAGCATGGGAGAGGAGGTGTGATGGTGTGGGGGTGTTTTGCTAGTGACACTGTTTGGGATTTAATCAACATTGAAGGCATACTGAACTAGCATGGCTACCACAGCATCTTGCAGCTGCATACTATTCCATCCGGTTTGCATTTAGTTTGACCATAATTTATTTTTCAACAGGACAAAGACCCCAAACACACCTCCAGGCTGTGTAAGGGCTATTTGTTTGACCAAGAAGGAGAGTAATCGGGTGTTGCACCAGATTACCTGGCCTCCACAATCACCGGACCTGAACCCAATCGAGATGGTTTGGGGTGAGCTGGACCGCAGAGTGAAGGCAAAAGGGCCACCATGTGCCAAGCATCTCTGGAAACTCCTTCAAGACTGTTGAAAGACAATTTCAGGTGACTACCTCTTGAAGCTCACTAAGGGGATGCCAGTGTGCGAAGCAGTAATCAAAGCAAAAAGTGGCTACTTTGAAGAACCTAGAATATAAGACGTATTTTCAGTTGCTCACACTTTTTTGTTAAGTATATAATTCCACGTGTTAATTCATAGTTTTGATGCCTTCACTGTGAATCTTAAATTTTCATAGTCATGAAAATAAAGAAAACTCTTATAATGAGAGGGTGTGTCCAAACTTTTGGTCTGTACTATATATTTTGTGCTATAAAATGAATCAAATAGTTTTGCATATTATTTTTCTTTTTTTCCTAAAAGGCTTCCGTAGCATCCGTCTACAGGGCACAACGTCTCCAGTTTATAAAACTGTGATCTAGACAAAACTAATTGATGGTACTCTTTCTTTTTTATTTAATATATACTTTCTTTCAAAGTGAAGTCTAGAGTTAGTTTGAAAATTAATTTAATCTAAACTTTGTGAAAAAATGTTTTTACATAATTGTTATGTTCATTTCTATTTCAATTCAGTTTATTTATATACGGTAGTGCCAATTCACTCCATCTCGAGGCACTTTAAAGAGACAATTCAACCTGATCATACAGTCAAACTGATTAAATTCTATCTAAGGAAAACCATTTGACTGTAATGACTCATTGACTGGTAGGGACATTAAAAAACTCCCTTTTAACAAGTAGAAATCTCCAGCAGAACCAGGCTCAATGTGAGCGGCCATCTAGCGATGTTTAGTGTAATTGCTTTTCTTAAATACATTCATTCTAAATTCATTTTTCTTTGTATTGCCTCCATATTTATTTGTAGATTAAAAGTAATTACAGATATCCGCCATCAACTACAGTTCCAATATTAGGATTTTATAATTAGTCATTTTGATATAAAAAAAACATGGATTTAGAGAGCTCTGATTAAGCACAAGAATATTATTGTAATAGCACAGGACGAAGGACCCAGAATTGAAGGCGAGAGAGACAGTGATTACTTAAAAGGCATTTATTGACACCGATGCAGAGCTGTGGATCTGCTGCAGCTCAAGTAGGGAGGGGCACCGCCCATCACTGAAAACTCTGGTTTATCAATGCAGTCCATCTCCTTAGAGCAGTGGTTCCCAAAGTGTGGGGCGCGCCCCCTAGGGGGGGCGCAATGCCATCGCAGGGGGGGCGCGGGAAGCGGTATGAGGGAAGGAAAAAAAAAAAAAAAAAA